AGGACATTAAAAATAAACAATTAAGAATACTTTTCTTTGATATGTGCTAAGCACCTCTTTCTGTTCCCTTCTATTGCCCAGGAGTGTGGGCTGTCCCATTCTCTGCCTGAGCTCTTCCCCGGTAGCCACTGTGTGGTGGAAAGGTTTGCTCTCCAGGGCAGGGAAAGGGGGGGGGCATTGGTCAGACTTTTCACTAATGAGCTGTGACGCCAGCTGCAAGAGCGGCAAATCCTGTTACTCTCTTCACCTACTCCCTGAAGCTTCAGAGCGGCTGGGAACAAGGTTCCCCTCTCTCTGCCGATCTGCTGCTTTTTCTGCTCTTTCCCTTCCCTTCCTCTTCTGGCCCTGAGCATCTTGGCAAAGGTCAGATTTCGGTGCTCACAGTTCATTGCACACAGTGAAAGGGAGTTGTAAAAGAGTAGAAGAGAGAGTGAGAAAAGAAAAAAAACGTTGGGGTGGAGATTTTTTTAGGAGGCTCTTTTGCTGCCTCAGTCTTAAAACAGCTTACGATAGCTCTAGGTTGAAACCTTGAATAATAAAGCTTTGAATAACTTGGATTTCCAAGTAGTTCTTTGCAGGAAGCTTTATTAGAGCAGGAGCATAGTGGACTATGAGTTAGAGTTTCAGTTTCTATTCAGAAACTTGCAAATTTTGAAGAAGGTGATAGTCTTCTCTCTTTAGTATTTGCTCAGATTGTCATTGTAAGGAAGATGGTGTATAGTATTCATAATATGTATCAGGAACCATGCCGCTCCATCTTATCACAGCAGTCCTTGGAGATAGACACCTTTTTAATTTATTTATTAGTATTTTATATTGCATTGTTGTTTTGTCTGCTTGTATGTCTGTATGAGGGTGTTGGATTCCTTGGAACAGGAGCTATAGACGGTTGTAGCTGCAATGTGGGTTCTGAGGTTTGAACCCAGTTTCTCTGGAAGAGCAGATGTTAACTGCTGAGCCATCTATTTAGTTCCTAGACACCTTTACATTGGACAACTCAGTTTACTCCCAGTAGAAAAAAATTTAAATTGTGGCAATAAATTTTAAAGTTGGACAATTAAAATGATCATTTCCCCATTAACCATTTTTTATAATTTTATTTTAACAATATATACAGCCTATATGTATATCTGTGAGGGTGGTGGATCCTGGAGTTACAGATAGTTGTGAGTTGCCATATGGGTGCAGGGAATTGAACCGTGTTCCTCTGGAAGAGCAGTTAGTGCTCTTAACTACCGAGTCATCTCTTCAACACTCCCCTACCCCCAAACTATTTTTAACTACAATTCAGTAGTACCTTGCTACTAGCCGCTTGGGTGCACATTTTAGTAGTGCAAGTATATTCGCACTGAAATACATCTCTAGAACTTTTTTATTTTCTGTGTCTAAGACTGTACCATTAACCTAATGTGGAAAAGCTGATTCTTTTGTTCAACAGGATGAAAATGGCTTCTATTCTTTTTGTTGTTGCTGTTTTCTCCTACAATAGTCTTGCTATACATTCCACCACAGAATGAGATAAAGGCATGTTTCACTGTCTTGTCTTTGGTTGTTTATTGATACAAACTGCTGGGACTCATCATTACCTGTTGGAGAGGGATAAAGGCGCTATTTTAAGATTTCTGAGAGGTGACAGGGTATCAATGTGTATCTCTGGCTTTGCCTGTCTCTTCCTCCTGTGTGTGCACTGATGAACCTAACCTTAATAACTCTTAACCTAGAATTCTCTGGGAAAAGGCCTTCTAGAAGTGTGTCTTAAAAGGGCCCAAGTAGACCCAGCTACTGTGTAGGGTCATTTCTGAGTCCGTAACTGTACCTCAGGCAGTGTTGATGTCTGTGACCCATGTTGCTACCAAAGGCCACACGGATGCCTGGGGTCTAAGCCCCCAACCTGTAACAATGTTGGTGACCGAGGGCTATCCTGCCTCCAGGTGTCACCTGGGCTGGGCTGCTTCTGAGGGCCATGTCCGTGTCTCTGGCCCTACAGCAGGCAGAGTCTGAATTGATGTCTGTGGTTCTTGCTACCACAAAGGCCCAAGTGAGTGAAGAGGTATTGGAGAAAGACAAAGAGTTGAGGTTGGGTGGCAATGCCTTAACCGTATGTGTGTTGTTAGGCCCAAGGGCCTCTTCCATCCTTGTCAGTGGGAGTGCTAACCTTCTCTCCTTTTATACTACACCCAATGTAATATTTTTTGTGGTGGCTGGCGGGGGGGGGTTTCTTTTGGAAGGAATTGGAGGGACTGGGATTGGGGTGCAAGATATTAAATTCCCAAAGAATCAATAAAGAGATATGTTATTAAAGGGGGGTTGAGTAGGGCTGTTATACATGTTTCAGTGGTGAGTGGTTGTTTATAATATTGAAGGCCATAGGTTCTATCCTCAGCACAGAGGAGCAGGGCTTGATTCAGTTATGTTTGAGACAATGTGGTAGACAAGGACACATAGTAAGTCCCATAGAGTGTGTACTACAATGTGTTAAGGTATCTATGGCATTTTGGCAGGATCACAGAATAGAAGGCATCTAGGAAGACTTGTTGTAAAAGACGAGTGCCTTGAACTTAACTTATTTCAGAGAAGCAGGCAGTCAGGTTTGTTCTTTTGAATGCATAGACTATTCACAATATTGCACCTCAGGGAAAAGGTGTCAGCTCACAGCCAATGACTGTTAACTACCTAACAGTCTAGCTCTAAGTGATACCACTATATCTAGAGACATAGTTTACTCACTTGAACTTTGGGTAGGGGTAGCACAAGTTGTCTAGTGCATAGTAAACTATCAGGTTCACATTCGCAGGTTGGGAAAGGACAGTGAATGCTGGCTCCACAGCAGAGGCTCCTCTGGAGCAGTGTTTCTTTAGAGCTACAGAGGCCTTAAGGCCTCATGGCCTTAGCTGTGCTTAGCCAAGTCACCCAGGGTGCCAGACACTCAACATTCACCAGAGTCAGAGGCAGTAGAGCCTAATGGGACACACATTCCCTAGAAAAATCCCTTGTTGCTGTGTGATTCTTGTAGTGTACTGAAGTTTGTTGGAGACCAGCTTTTGATGAGCTTCCTGGGGTGTGGTCTTTTTATAGCCCTTCAGAGGTTTGTCTCCTTCCTGCAAACTTTCTGTCTTTGCTTCTGATTGGTGTGGGTTAATGACTCTCCAGGGCTTTATTGACCTACCACACACAGGTGCTTGATTCTCTGATGTCAGCTTGGACGCTGAGCAGGAGATCCTCCATCTTTATTATTATCATCATCATTATGATGATGATGATGACTGTAGGTATGGAGAGAAGACACCATCACATGGGCTTCAAAGATGGAATTCAGTTCATCAGACTTGGACAGCAAGTGCCTTTACCCTCTAAACTATCTCACCAGCCCCATTGAATCTTTCTAAAATAAAGAATGTTAATGAGGGAGAGGGAGTTTTGTTTGCCTAAGAGTAATTGGGTAACTTTTTTCCTTTTCCCCTCTTGGCTCTGTCACTGATTTACTGACTTAGAAAGTCATTCCTTTAGAGGATTTTGGGTTTTTTATTTGTTTATTTTGAAAATATTGCTGTTATAACCCATATTGGCCTTGAATGTTCTATTCTGCTCAAGTATTGAGATTGCAGATTGCAGATGTGCTATACTAGGCCTAGGTTTCTTTTAGGAGAGTTAAAGTGTGTGACCTGTAGTTTACTAAACTTCTAGCTTAAGCATTCCTGGATTCTGACTAGGTTTAAACTGTGAGCCTTTTGTTGTTGTTGTTGGGGTGGTGGTGGTGGTTTGTTTTGGTTTTTGTTGTTTATTTTAGAGTCTCGAGTAGCCCATTTCATTTTGAGAATAAAAGACTTCCAAATTTAGAACTTTAAATAAATAAATGGAACAATTTGTACAATATCATAAAAACTTGATTGTTTCTCTATAGTAGAAATAAACTGTCTATGTATGCATAGCTGTATAATTGTGTTGAGATCTGAAATCACATGTCTTGCTTTTGAGATAAGGTGCACTTGGTTTTTTTTTCCTTGTGGGTTTTAGATCTAGTTGTAAACTAGTCAGTTGTAAGCAGACGCTTGGGAATCTGTAAACTTAGGTTGTACAAAAATTAATGACTTAGAGCATATTTCATCACTTCAGAAAACATTCTTGTTTTGGAGGGTTGAGAAGAGAAGGAAGTTTACTGATGTTTTCCCACTGCCACTTTTTGCCCATTGACTCATCTCTTGATTTCTAAGTTCTGTATGAAGATATCTGTCTTCTGTAGCTTCTACCTGAGCTTTCAGGGCAAGCAAATGCACCCCACCTAGGATTAAATTATTAACAGTCGTTACCTCATTTCTTTCCAGATGATGTAAAAATTATTTTATTCCAGCAACCTGCTTTCATCAGTCTTGTAGGTAGAGCCATACATTCTTCCAGTGCTACTTTGTTCAAAACATAGAGGTTTCTTAAAACTGTTGCCTGGTGGGTTATCTGATAGGACTGTCAAGTAAATAAAGATTAATTTATAATCAATTGTGTGATGTTTCTATAATCTTCATTGTCATTAAAATATGAGCAAGGGACTAAGGAGGTGATTCATTCTGTAAAGTGCTTTGCCATGAAAGCACGAGAACCAGAGCTCGGATCTCTAATCCCGTATAAACAAGTCACATGTGGACTGTGTGCCCGCAACTCTAGTGCTGGGGAGTGGAGATCCAGGTTCAGTCTACCAACCTCCTGGTTTGATGAGAGACTTTGTCTCATAAAATAAGTTTGAGAAGTAGTTGAAAAAGACAGCTCAGCATTGACCCACAGCACGCGTCACACGCACTTTCTATCAAGTTCTTGATTATTTAATTAGCATCCGTTCTTAAAAAAGAAATGTCCTTGTGTATTTCTTCTACAAGGGAATGGGGGCTAGTAAGATGTAATAGAAGAAATAAACTAGAATGTGAAGCTCCCATTGTCCTTCTGAAAGTATACGTAGGAAGAAGACAGCATTGTTTGTGATAGTCCTTTATTTAAGCAGATGTCTGATCTATTTCTCTCTCCCTCTTCTCTCAGGAGTTAGAGGCAGCTCTTCACAGAGATGACTCGGAGTTTATCAGTGATCTGATTGCCTGCCTGCTTCAGGGCTGCTATCAGCGAAGGGATATCACGTGAGTAACCCTGGTCTTATTATTTCTTGTATAGGGAACTCACTAACCTGCTAACATTGACTCCAATCTCTTGTGACGAGCCCAGCATTGGCCAGTACACAACAGTGTAGAGTCTGTATACAAGCACATTCACAGACCTTATGTTTGTTCATTCTTTATTAAAATTCTTGAGTTTGTGTTTACCAACAAATGTCACCCCCTTATGCTTGCTACTTTGAGTGTACGAATGTCTTCTCTTGTGTGTGTATTTTTCTGATTTTTGACTTGTACTACTGGCAAAATATTGCCTAACAAATTAAAATCAGGTTTCTCTACATTCCTGTGGCTTATATATCTTCTGTTGTTCCCATAACCAGTACAATAAGAGAATTAAATTGGAGTCTCTGGGCTCCTTTCTTCCATAACTGCCAAGCAGACAGCTCTTTGATGCCTTTGAGATGTTTAGAATTTTAGAGTAGATGTTATCTGTGTAGACAGAGAATACAGAACTTCCTGATAAGAGCTCGTCTCTGCTTTACTTTGATTTGAGACTGAGTTTCTCTGTGTTGCCCAGGCTGGCATAGAACTACTGAGCTCATGATGAGTGCTTTCTGCTTCAACGTCCCAGATAGCTGGACTATAGACATAGTCATCCAGATTTTCCTTGACTTGATCCAAGTTGAGACAGCTTAGGACAGACTCAAACAAAAGGCTGCCCTAGTCCCTTGGCCCTTTGAAACTATGTAGGACTTCGGTTTATGTTTTTGAAATAGTTAAAGGTGGCTGGAGAGGTGGGTCAGTGCTTAAGAGCGCATACTGCTTGCTGTTGAGGATACAAGTTTGGGTGGCATACAACTCTTGTGACTCTCACTCCAAGGACTCCAATGCCCTCTTCTGGCCTCTGTGGGTATGTGCACAAACCCACACAGACAGCCACATAAATATTTAATTTGAAAATATAGTTTATTTTTTATTTTTTAAAAAATGGTGTGTTGCATCATTTTGTTATAGTAAATACAGTCTGCTAAGTTGGTAAGCTAGGCCTGGTATTAATGTTCATATTGGCTGAGAGAGGTGGACAGTGGTATGTTTTTCATGGTGTCTGAGAGTTATTGCCCTGGCCTTGAACTTGTTAGGTAGTCAAGGCTGGCCCTCAACTCTGGTTGCCCTGTCCCCACCTCTCTAGTCCAGGGATGACAAGAGTGCTGAAATTACAGACATGTGATACCACGCCTAGCTTTGTCATCCTGCATATAGCTTTCTGACTTTTTATGTCAGCCTGCATGGCAGGTAAATTTAGTGATATCTATAAGTGTGCTACACTGCCTTTTGTAGACTGGTAAGCTAGAGGGTTAATTCTTTGAACTCATAAGTAACATTGCTAGTGATGTGTGGAAGATTGGTTTGCTCTGTCTTAGGCATTGTTAGGAATTTTCTTCTTGGGAAGCGTGCTAGGGATCCGCTCTTCTGCCCTGGCCATGCTAAACACATTCTCTCTTCCTGAATTATACTGTTAGCCCTAAAAACACTTACTGTTGTCTCCGTAATAGTCCATAGGTTTAAGAGGAATGCTTTATGTTTGTGTAATGCTCATGTTGAGTAATTTTTTGTTGAGTAGTATTTTAATTTTGTATTTAATGCATGCATGTTAAATTGTGTTGGTTTGGTCAGAAAAATTAAAATGAATCTTGCCATCACCACTACCACCAACTTCCTCACCATGACGCTGGCTGGCCTCAAACTTGTTCAGTTCACCTGCCTTTATTTCTGAAGTGGTAGGATTAAAGGCATGCTTTGCCACTCCCAGTGGCATTTATTTATTTTAAAACACTTGTAATCCCTTGCATATGGATTGTAATTTCATATCTATGTTTATTATAACAATATTTTTTCTTATAACCAACTTTTCTCTAAATGTGATTTATCAGATAATCCAGTCTTTTGGGTAGATACTTTGACGTTTAACTGTGAGTAGCTTTATACTAAATTCACTAGCTGTTCAAATTAATCTCCTTATTTTTGTTTCTGGCTGTGCACTCAGTTGAAAGAAATGCCCAGTTAAAATTTGTTAATGGGACAAGTACAGTTATGGCTTACTGGTTAAGAGCATTGGATGTTCTTCCAGAGGACCCAGGTTTGATTCCCAGCATCTACAGTGGATCACAGATTTCTGTAACTCTCCCAATTCTAGGGGATTTGATTCCCTCTATTGGCCTCCTTAGGCAATAGTCCTACACTTGGTGCAGAGGCACACATTTAGGAAAAACACAAATACACATAAAGAAAGGTAAACAATGTTTTTATAAAGATTTCGTCAACAAACCAGCAGACTGCCCACTACAGAAGTGGCTTTGTTTTATTTTTGAACCAACTTGGAAACCATGGGGTTTCTCAGTAATTTTTATTAGCTCTGAACATGGTGTCCTATAAACCTATCAGTTGTTTAACCAGACTATCCTGGAGTATCCTGGAGTGTACAATTTTATGCTGGTAATTACATTATGATTTTTATCATTGTAAGTAGACAGTTACTGCATTGTATGCATAGGAATAAAAATCCATCTGGACCTAGTGGTTCACATCTATCCCAGCACTGTGTAAGCTAAGACAAGAGGCTTCCTGAGAATTTAGGGCCAGTGTGAGCTAGAGTGAGACCCTGGAAATCCCCAATGGAGAAAGACAATTACCATCTTTCTTAGAGTAAAAATCAAGTTCACTTCCTAGTTAGGTCTGTTCCCTCTTCCCGAGCATGCCCTTTTGATTCAGAGTAAAGTGTGTGCTGTGCTGACACTTCAGTTGACATGGTGCTCTTTTTCTTTGCTATCCTAAACTAATGTGTCTAACGCCCAAAATCATAAAATATAAAATATTATATAAATTTAATGTATGTTTGTTACTTTTAAAAACATAAGAACCACTCTTATCTCTCAGGCAGAGAGAGAGAGAGAGAGAGAGAGAGAGAGAGAGAGAGAGAGAGAGAGAGAGAGAGAGAGAGAGCGCCAGATTCTAGACATCTAGACATCAGATTACACCACAATGGGCCATGGTTTCTGGGTCTTTTTGCAGAATTACGTGAAACCCAGGCTGGACTACAACTAGTTGTGTAGGGTGATTTGAATTTGTGTTCATCACCATGCCCAGTAGTAGTAATCCTGCAGTAATGGGATTTACAACTATTGATGAACATAAATGTTTACTGTGAGGTATCTGCAGCATATATAACGTGATGTGAAAATTTCTGATTTCCACTAGTGAAAAATAAACCTTCCACCTTGCTGCTGTTGGTTACCTACATTCACACCTGCATTAGGTTTTTTTTTTATATTCCAAGTTTAAATGCAATTTAGAATATTTCCATGCAAAGAACTGTCTAAAGTTACTATCGAGTTCTTCTCCCCTACCCTCCCACCCCAGAGGAAAAGTGAGATAGAGTACATCTGGCTAGCCTCTGACTCAACTGCAGTCCTTCTGAGTCCTGTATTATAGACATAAACCATTATGCTTGGAAGTTTGTTTCTGTAACTGAGGAAATTATAGCAAAGCAAGTGTGCATGTATCCAAGATAACCAGTACCCTCCCCCTCGTTTGTATTTCCTTGTGTGCGGGGCGAAGGAGGGGGATAGGGGCAGTTGGTGGGGTTTTGTTGTTGTTTTTGAGACAGGGTTTTCTGTGTAGCCCTGGCTGTCCTGGAACTCGCTTTGCAGACCAGACTGGCCTTGAACTCACAAATATACCATTTCATCTAAGTTGAATTTTCTGAAGACCCATGGTGAAACTTAGTCTCTTCATTCTAATTAGATAGATTTTTGTTTAGAAATACTGTCTTGAGAGAATAAAGCCTTAGTTCAAAAGTTTTCAGGTCACATTTGTAATTGTCCAGGAGTTCAAGATCAGCCCTCAAGATGAGGATGTTCAGAAATTCGTTTGTAAAACTTGAGGGTGTAGTTTAGTGATAGAGTTAGTATGTTGGAGCCTTGGATTTGATCTGTCACTAAAAGGAGTGGGGGTAATCCTACTGAAAAAAAAAAAGGTTCTTCAAAAGATTGTGTATGTGTGTGTAGCATAAAAATACCTGCTATTAAATTCTTACTGTAATAATACTTTACCTATTGTTTCTTTTTTTTCTAATGAGTTCATCTTTTCAAGAATGCTTTTTTATGTAACAGACTAATTTATGATTCAACTGGGGTCTTTGCTTGCTTTTGTTTCCATTATAAATAGAACTTTTATCAGTTAAAAACCTGGTTTTTTAACCGTTAATTGTATGTCCAACATAATGTTAGAATTTTTTGTTGATCACTTTTGAAGTTTTGTTCTCAATGCAGAAATAGCACATTTGTTCAGAAATTGGAATAACTGCTAAATGTGCGTTCGAATGTGTCTTTATTGAGATGTCTTTTTTTAAAAAAGATTTATTTTATGTGTGGTGTTTTGCCTGCATCTAAGTGTGCACTATGTACATTCAGTGTTGGTGGAGGCCAGAAGAGGGCAACAGCACCTCTCACGATGGTTTTAAGCTGCCATGTGTGTGCTGGAAATTAAACCTAGATCCTCTGCAAGAGCCATCTTTTCAACCCATAGCTGATATTTTGTTTCCAGGTGTTTTCAGACAGGGTCTTTCCTTATGGCCCAGTCTAATCTTAATTTTGTGACCCTCCTGATTCCACTGCCCAATTTACTGCATGCAGTGACTCTGAAGCCAGACATTCTTGACAAATGATCCAACACATAGTCATTGCTCTACTCAGGACCATAGATGCTGCAATCTGGTGTCAATGTATACTTACTACCAATAATTTTTTTCCTTTTGGAGGAATGAAGAAATTAAATTGGGTGTAGAAAAATACAACACAAAATTAACTGTCATTTATTGATGGACATTGTGTTTCTTTGAATGTAAGGCTGTTATTAACCAAGTTACTGTTGGGAGCCCACTACCCAGCTCCCAAATAAATCACACGGAGGCTTATTCTTAGCAATGCCCAACTTTAGATTGGCTTGTTTCTTGCCCACCTTTTTTT